TAGGGCAAAAGTGCAGACCAGTATTATAATTAAAGGAACTGAATAGGGTGATCAATGTAGACATTATGATGATTAAAGGAATTGAATAGGGCAAATAGTGCAGACCATAATTATGATTAAGGAACTGATTTGGGCAAACAGTGCGGACCATTATGATGATCAAAGGAACTGAATAGGGCTCACAGTGCAGACCAATATATGATCAAAGGTCAACTGATTCCTTGTAAAAATCCCAAATGTAAATTCATGTATACTGTGTGTGTAAGTCCAACATTTTGTGTAACTGGTATATTTTGTGTATATATGATTGTGTTCATGTACATAATTGGTCATATTTCAAAACACGAAAATTTCATGCTACGGACATTTTGTTATTCAAGGGGCTACCTATAGGGTTTTGCAAGTAAGAAAAAGATAATTGCTAAAACATTAATATTGTACATTTCTAGCTCAAAAATACATTATTTCTAATTTTTCGATAGATAACATGATATTTGATAGTAAAAGAAGTAATTTAAGTAAGATATAAGCCTCAAACTGACCAATAAGTAAAATATTGAATTCCCTTCGGCGCTACACGCCTCATGAAATTCAATATTTTACATATTGGACAATTTTCGGCTTATATCTACTACTTAAACCATTGTAAAATTTATTTACCTTCTCACATTATTTCATACAATGACCCAATAATAACAGATTTTCACACCTTTTGAAATTAAGTGTCATGCAAAGCATTCAAGCAGATCATAACAGATTTAAGATCTAGATAGGTAGTTGGGTCAAATTAAGGATAAAGCAAAGAATTTGGACTGAATCAGGTGGTCTTAAAAGTGGATAAGCGGTTGTTCTTAATTCTGTATCATGTAAGAACCTTGCAAAAAATAGTCTTATTAAGAAGGTGGTCTTAATTCAGGGTTGGTCTTAAGTAGGGATTCTACTTTACACTGAATGTAATCAATTATCAATCAATTACTCTCTTAAAATAATTGTAATTTAATTGATTACAGAGGCAAGTGTGAGTATCAATCTTAATCAATTACAATAAAATCTGAAAGTAATTGTAATTTAATCAATTACTGATCAATGTAATCATCCCCAGGTCTGCAACTGAATAGGACAAACAGTGCAGACCAGTATTATGATCAAAGGAACTAATTAGGGCAGTCAGTGCAGACCATTATGATGATCAAAGGAACTGAATAGGGCTCACAGTGCAGACCAATATATGATCAAAGGTCAACTGAATAGGACAAACAGTGCAGACAGTATTATGATCAAAGGAACTAATTAGGGCAGTCAGTGCAGACCAGTATTATGATCAAAGCAACTGAATAGGGTGAACAATGCAGACCATTATGATGATCAAAGGAACTGAATAGGGTGAACAGTGCAGACCATTATGATGATCAAAGGAACTGAATAGGGTGAACAGTGCAGACCAGTATTATGATCAAAGGAACTGAATAGGGTGAACAGTGCAGACCATTATGATGATCAAAGGAACTGAATAGGGTGAACAGTGCAGACCAGTATTATGATCAAAGCAACTGAATAGGGTGAACAGTGCAGACCATTATGATGATCAAAGGAACTGAATAGGGTGAACAGTGCAGACCAGTATTATGATCAAAGGAACTGAATAGGGTGAACAGTGCAGACCATTATGATGATCAAAGGAACTGAATAGGGTGAACAGTGCAGACCATTATGATGATCAAAGGAACTGAATAGGGTGAACAGTGCAGACCATGATGATAATCAAAGGTGGCGTACAATTACTGGCTTATCTTGGTCTGAACTGGTGACATGGGCAGAATGAGTAACTACTAGCAGGCTAAAGAGTGTAAGGGACTTTTGATGTTGAAAGCAGGGTTACATGTATATTCTCCTATTTTTTTATATTTTTTTTTACTTCTGCTATTCATCACGTCTTGTTAACAGTGCTGAAGACCATACACAGAGGTAAAGACATTCCAAAATGTTGAGTACACATTCTGAGAATGTTATGTTTATTTGTTAGAATTGTTATGTCTGCGTAGAGGTAGATATATGTATATAAGAGGCATGTTTTTAATTGCCGTTTCCTGCGAAACATCTGTTTTAATTGATCATTTTGTATAGATGTTGAACAGATGCTTTTCGAGATGTTGTCCATAAAAGAAAACTATTTTCTTACAGAATGCATGATGTTAGATTAATGTTGTCCATAAAAAATATTAATTTTTTAAGATTTATTATTATAAAGTTATTTCATAATCAGGTTTATTCTGTGATTTTTTTTTTTTGCTTCTGCAACTCTTTAACAAATCTCTTTCATACAGATTATTTTGGAAGTATTTCTTTTACAAAGTATTTTTTTTTATTTCAACAGACTGAGAGTTGAATAACAGTTTATTTATAACAATGACAGACAATTACATGTATAACTCTTGCATTGCGAAATAGATACCTTGATAACAGGTAAACACTTGTACTGCACATAGCTTATCTGAAATTGGGTATTGATTTTCTTCAGTGCCATTAACCACTGAAGATGGTAAAATTTGATTTAAAATCGTTTATTCAATTAGCAATGAGCAGTTGAGAGAACCTAGATGAAATTAATTGATTTTAAAACCCATTCACATGATAACAAAATATCAGGTATTAAATTCTTGATTGAATTTAATGTTTATAACTCCCTTTATTTTTTAAATGACTTTTTTCAGCTTTCAATTTTGGAACTGTCCACCATAAACTTTGGGGAAAGCAAGAGATGAAAATTTATAGTTTAAGTTAGCAGCTTACAGATGTAATACAGCCTGGTCTGTCTGAGCATTAGGCTGGTTCTATACAAGCAACATAGGCTTTGTCATTTTCAGGAGGGTTTATCAATAGTATGTAGATCACTAGATGAAAGGAAAAATGCAAGTTCAGTTTTCAAGCTTGAAAAATTGTGAAATTTCTTATCCCTGTAACAAAAAAACAACAACAAACAAACAAAAAACAGCAACAAAAAACAACAACAAAAAACAACAAAAAAGGAAAAATGCAAGTTCCGTTTTCAAGTTTGCAAAATTGTGAAATATCTTATCCTTGTAACAAAAAGCAAAGAACAAACAAACAAAAAACAGCTACAAAAAACAACAACAAAAAAGGAAAAATGCAAGCTCAGTTTTCAAGTTTGCATGGTGAAATTTCCCATCCTTGTAATAAAAAATAATCTGTTGAATTATTGCCCTGAAGGCAGATGAAGATAAAAATTAGGCAATTAGGATAGACAGATATTTATTCAAATATTCCTCCCTCAGATTTGTTATCTAGAAATATGCTGAGATTTGACCAGTTTCTGATGATAAGACAAGATTTTAGATATATATTTTTTGATTCAATGTTTAAAGGTGCATGCCCCCAGATGTGTAGACAAAACTGCTTAATTAGGCCCATTATGCCCCATAAATGCTTTCATTTCTCAAAATCTTCTTTTATTTTTGGTATTCTTTTGTATTTGCCAACAAGTTTTTAGCTTTTTGGCCTTTAATATAAGTACAATTATAGTGATTTAGTATTTTGTATGGATAAGTCACAATAATGTTTTGTTTATGTTTTGCTGCTTTTGTGACATATCATTTAACATTTGACGCTATTTTATTATGGTAACAAGCATCTAACATAATAAGTCTAGAACCATTATTTAAACATTATAAGACTCATGTTTGTCCTAAGTTTTCTAAAGAAATTAATATGTATTCATTTTTGAAGCATAATATGTGCCTTTAAGGAATTTCATTATCAAAATATAAAACTTGAGCTACCAACTTATTTATGGTATATATAGAGCTTGCTCAGACTAGCAACAGTATAGAACTTGGTGGTAGCAGAGCTGAAAGGCTGTTTACTTTTGGTTCCAGTGCAAGTTAAATGTAATTTGTATAGATTATAATGTATTGTAAGCATCTTAAACAAGTTTGAAACACTTTATTTTGTACTCCTAGGTGCGTGTCTTTAAAAGTTTACATCATGTTTTTGAAAAATCTTACTGACAATTTGTTACAAAGTACTTTGTCTTGTACTTTGGATTTTTCTGCAATTCTTCAGCTAGGAGTTGTTTATTCTTAAATCATTCTCCTACAAGAATTTGAAAGCTGTGGTTAATGTAAATCTTTATTTAAAGTATTTTCTCCAGCTGTTATTGTAGAATACTGGTAGTAGTAAATTTTTGTTGAATTTAGGGCCTTTTTCCATCTATTTTGGGAAATACCCTCAAAGCCTAAAATTGGGAAAGGTTTTGTTGAATCGGAGAAATTCTATAATGTTGAAACACTACCTTATACATGACTTTGAAGTTAATCTTACATGTATACATGTATGTAGGATTCCTTGGATTTATGTTGTGTGGAACATATAACCAGTTCATATTATGATCATTGAACACATATAATAACCAGCCCAAATTTTGATCATTGAACACATTATTAATTGCCAGTCCATATTGTGATCATGGGACACATAATAACCAATTCATATTCTGATCATGGAATACAGAACACATAATAGCCAGGCTATATTTTGATCATGGAACACATAATAGCCAGTCCATATTTTGATCATGGAACACATAATAGCCAGTCCATATTTTGATCATGGAACACATAATAGCCAGTCCATATTCTGTTCAGTGACTGAGCTGGTAGCTGATTCAGTCATTATTAATGTTGAAGATTTTCCTAAACTGTTGTATGGTTTTGCCTAGATTGAAAGATGCAGAAGTTTATTTCAGGTATTTAGCATGGTATAGGTTAGTTCACATTGGGCTCCTTAAACATATGCTATGGGGAGCACATGGTAGCCATTTTGCTCTTTTATTCTATCTAGATCTTTCCTTTTTGCACACATTCGCATGTATTTACATATCATTTCCCATACTCGAAACAGTAAGTCTGACTTTGTTACGATAAGTTTAGCTGATAATTGTGGTCTGTTACAAGTTTCATATTTTCACTTCCTTGTTTTTCCAGACTGATCCAAAGGCACTACACGACTATATTGAACTATTTATAGAGACATACAGGGATCTGATAGACTATGATTTGAATCATCTAACTGATGGGTAAGTAAATGAAATAAATTTGTATAATGCATTAATTAATATCAGGGTGAATTCATTTCATTCCTAGGGCAAGAAAATTAATGGTTTTGTCATAACGGACATTTTCGTTGGTTTGCTTCAACTTATGGATTGTTTGGTTTTTGCAAAAAAGTAAAATGTTAATAATTTGTAATGCAAAATAATCATAAAGCAGAGAAAATGAGATTTCCTTGGAAGGACTGACTTGTTCACGAAACCATCAAAGTATTAATATTAGAGCCCCGCAAATAATTATTATTTTTCAGTATACATTGTTTATAATTCTATATCGTTAATAGAATTACTACGTTATGAAATGAGAAAGTGTTCCACGCATGCTCAGTCAGTGTGCTTCCGGTATGTCGTTTGACATAGTTGCATGAAATAATCAGTCACAAATTTTTCAGTATACTTTGTATATAATATATGTGCCTTCAATTTTATATGAACTGATTGATCGTAAACTTATATGTCTTCTTTTTTTGTCTGAAATATTCTATGTGGGTAAACATTAAAAAAAAAAGCCGTAAAGCTATTACGTTGCGTGCAAATTGCATACAAGCCAATTAAATTCTTTGGTATTTATTTGTAAAAACAACAAAAAACTTCAGTAATTATGTATCATATGGTATATTGATAATTATATTAATTATGTCATTGTACTATTTATTTTTAATACAACAGGTTCTCTGAAGAAGGTCCACATCTGACCAAATTGCCTGATGGGAATACTACAGGTGCTTGGCAACCAGTTGAATCAGTGTTGCTGTGGTGATGACCTAAATACGATCAAACCTAGCAACAAATATTGTCAAAATGTTAATTGTTGTGCAGGTGAGGTATTTTTGGGTTTTTCGTATACAACAAGTATAAATTAATTTTAATGTAAAATTTTTGGACAAGTATTCGATTTCCCCTTTAAAAAAAACAAATCGAAAGTAAAAGAGTAATCATGGTTTTGTAGTCGGTCTTTCTGAAAAATCTCTTCATGTTTATTCTTGATGACCCATGGCAATTAGTAAAAAACACACTCTTTCTGTCTGAAAAAACAATATCAATTTGAATAAAAATTGAAATAAATCATACAGTGATGCGGGAAAAACTGTGCTTAAATAACTTCAACAAATGTCATGTGCATAGTAAAATTGCGTTGGGCTTGCAAAATCTTACATGGTGCGAATAAAAGGTGCTTGTGCCACATTAAAAAGGGGGGCTGCAACCCCTCAGTCATGGGCCCAATGTTAGACAACTTTCGAAAAAAACACATGATAATGGGGAAAAAAAAACTTTTCATTTACTGCAAATCCATGTAAGTCAATTGTATATTTTTTTCCAAGAGCAATAGGTTGAAAAAAACCAAAAAATTTGTTTTAATTTCATGCATTTGGTTTTCCCGAAATTTTTTTAAAAGGGATTCAAGGGTGGTATTACAAAAAAAGAAAACAATTTAAATTTTTTTTAATTAAACATTGTAAAAAATCTAGGACAATTTTTTTAATTATTCAGAATCATGTAATGTGCATTATAGCTCATGCGAGTTTTACAAATTAGTTTAACTCCCATGTGTTGTAAATAATAAACAAGCAATTGAATTTTAGCTCCTACCATTGCCCCCCCCGCTGTGGGGGTTTAGTCCGACAATTTGGGTTCTTTTATGTGAGGAACATTCAGCTAGTTCGAAACTAGTGGGGCATTCAGGGGGCCCTTTTTCCTAAATAGGCATGGAAGGGGACCCCCAAAGGGCTTCCTCCCCCATAAAACTGGGAAATTTGGCCCAATACCCCTACAGGGCAAAACAATATTTAATTAAAAAGAAAACAGGGTCTTTTTATCACATACATTGTTTCTCTTCAAAAATTCAGGGGTTTTTTTGAAAACCTAAAATTTAGCTAGCAGAAATATGGGGTTTTACAATGTCGGGTCAAATAATGTACAAGGGTGCATTTTAAATCTTTTCCCTTGACCCTTTTCGAGTTGGTTGGGCTTTAAACCCCCACCCACCCTCAAAAAAAAATAAATATAAAAAAATAAAAAATCTCAAATTTTTTTACTCAGGTCAATTTTGATTCTTAAAAATTTATGCAAATAAAAACATATTTTGAAAAAATGTAAAAATTATAATGGTTAATTTTGAAGTA